TACAAAGATCACACCGTCCAAACCAACTACAGCAATCATCACAGAGGTCACACTGTCCACACCAACTGCAACAGTCGTTACAGAGATCACACCGTCCACACTAACTGCAACAATCGTTACAAAGATCACACCGTCCAAACCAACTACAGCAATCATCACAGAGGTCACACTGTCCACACCAACTGCAACAGTCGTTACAGAGATCACACCGTCCACACTAACTGCAACAATCGTTACAAAGATCACACCGTCCAAACCAACTACAGCAATCATCACAGAGGTCACACTGTCCACACCAACTGCAACAGTCGTTACAGAGATCACACCGTCCACACTAACTGCAACAATCGTTACAGAGATCACATCGTCCAAACCAACTACAGCAATCGTTACAGAGATCACACCAACTACAGCAACACAACCACTGACAATCACATCGAGTTCAAATCAACAAAGTGAATATTTTTCTATATTTATTTCTAGAAAAAACTTACAAGGAAACGCTTCTAACTATCAAATAACTTTTTAGTCGAGACCATATGTATCATATAAGTTTTAACTAGCTATGAATACTGTGAAAAAGAACTCAGGATTATAGATTATTGCTTTCAAGATACTTCAGTTTCTAGTAGAATCCCGTAATCCCTCTCAAGAACACCAGGAAAACTAAGTTTCGACTTTCAACTTAAAACTTTGCATAGGATAGTTTGTTGTGAAAGTTTCAGTTGTTCGTTTGCACTGTTTTAAAATATGAATATCAGAATATGTTGTTGTATACGAGCCGTGTTATATATATACTTTTATTATAACTGTATCTTACAATAGAAGCAATCAAACGATCTATAATTTTTACAATGAACTACTCTCATAAAAGACTATCTCTATGTAAAGTTTCAAGTCGAAACTTATAATTTTGTTTTCCTGCTGTTCCTGAGAAGGACCACGATATTCTGTTAAAAAAATACAGTATCTCGATTGTAAAAAACTATTAGTCCGACCTCTTTTCAAGGTATTCATAGTTCATTAAAACCTATATGATGCATATAGTCTAGACTCAAAAGCAATTTGACACTTAGAAGCATTTTCTCATTAGTATTGTCCTTTTCTTGTTTATTATAGATTCAGTACAGGGTGAACCAGGTCTTGGTAAAGCAGCAACTGCTGGTCTTGCTTGTGGAATTATTTTTTCTGCTGTCATATTCATTGGTGAAATTATCTTCTTTAAATTTTTCTATTCCGGAGGTGCCGCTAGTGGTGGTTTCGAGCGATCAGTTGCTTATCGAGCGTGAAAACTCATAAACATTCGATCTGAACAATAAATATTTATTAATCATGAAAAAACTTCGTTTGTTTTCTTTTTATCATTAAAATATTCATGGAACATTTTATAAGATAAAAATTGTTTAATTATTTGTTTTTTCATGGGCAACGTGATTTATGTGATGCTGAATCATTGTGTCGTTGGTAAGTTCATAATCAACATCTTCAAATACTGTTTGCAGAAGAACAATAAAAAGAGAAAAAGAATTGAAAATGGCATTGATATTTTAACACTGTGCAGACAATGAAGTGAAAACATATAAATTGAAAGATGAAAAAGAAATTTTTTTTTTTGTTATGAATAAAGAACAAAATTATGACAAAAGATACTGCTGTTGGCCTTGTAATAATTTTCAATGATATATTCAATAAATGACGGAAACTGAGAAATTTAGTTATTTTTTTTCCTTATTTGGTAGAATTAGTTTCATTGAAATATACACAATATAGTCCATCGGGTAAAAACTTTGCAGATTGAAATCCGAATTCAAGGCTAATCCGAAGAGTTTTAGTAGTTACTAAAATATTTCGTCTGATTTCAAATTGTGTCAGATATATTTTTCAGTCTATATGTAATCAAATCAAATTTACATGAGATTATTTGTGGAAGAATATATACATGATTATTGTTATTTTCTAATTTGAATCTTATTATATGATCTAATATATTCATTGTCAATTGTCTTTCTTGCTTCTTCTCGAGAATCAGAATTTCATGGCATGTATATTCTACTTATATTTGATGTTCTTTTCTTTTCATTTGAGCTACATCAATTTGATTTTTACATCTTGTTGCTGTTGTTAATCAAGATCATCGAATAATAAATTAATCTATCGTAGTATGTGATACTCATAATTATTATGATTACAACAATGATTCTTGTTAGACAACCCGTTCAGAGATATGTTATATGTGAAAAAAACATTGACATGAGAGCTCTTAATAGAGTAGATATTTATGTCATGTGTCTTCTTCTTCAAGAGACAGCAGGATGTCAAAGTTTTCTGTAAAACATTTGCTATTGATTAATGAGAATGATTACATATTATCATTAAATAAACATTGTGCAATAAAATGTTTTATTATTTTTTTCTTTTCACTTTCATTTAATCTTGCAAATTTTAGTTGAAATGAAAACAATGATTCAGATTATAGTTGTTAATGTTGTCATTTGTTATACGTACTTATGCTCATTCAAATGATTCATACAACTTGAAAAACTATAAATAAATATTTTTTGTTAGTTATGACAAGTCACACAACCTTGAATTTGTTTTCATTTACGATTTTAATAAATGTATGATTTGCTCGAAGGAATAGGCCAAAGTTATGAATAATGATGTACGAACAGGAGTATTCTCATTTAAACGTGGAGCAATTTTCGGCAAAATTCGGATGACAAAATCAATCAAAGTTTTATATTAGAATTTCTTTTCTATAAAGAATAATCAATAGTAACAACTTTCACGTATGCTATTTCGAATGAACATTGATAATTTTCATCATAATTTCTACACGACAAGTCACTGAACTATTTGTTCTGTTCTATGTCATTAAAAGTTGTCATTTGAAAAAAACCCTTA